AGGGTTACGATAATGCACTCATAAAAAATGCACAGGCAAGTTTACTTTGTCAATGAGTCATTTGCTTAATTGTTGTTCCTAAAACAGTTTGTGTTAACTATTTTTANGCGATTGTAATGCTCTTTCTACATTTTGACTCATACATAGATATCTCCATTTACAGGAAATGAACAAGTTTCATACCATTTTGTTGGATCAAGCGAGTCGCACGGTTTTGAAGAACCTTAAAGTATTTGTCAAAGACGATATTAATCAAGTTAAGGACTATAAAGGACACTTTCTTAAAGTATCCGAGGGTTACGATAATGCACTCATAAAAAATGCACAGGCAAGTTTACTTTGTCAATGAGTCATTTGCTTAATTGTTGTTCCTAAAACAGTTTGTGTTAACTATTTTTATCGTTATTTTAGGCAAGCAAAAATCGACCACAAGAAGTACAAGAGGCTGCTAACATATTGTCAGCTAGTAAATCATGCTTTCAACATACCGCTTTAGACTATGTTAATTATATAACTTTAGTACAATCGCGTAAAGTTCCATCGATTTTATCTACGGTTAGTAAATAAATAATTTTTAGTTTTAATTTTTTTTTTGTGGCCAAATGTTAAACAGTGAGTACACTCATTAAACTCTCAACTGCTCTCCACTCTTCTTCTACAGCTTGTCGACTATTATCAGGCTTGCGTTACATATTATCATCAAGGTTTCGATTTGTGCAACGATTTTGATGAATTTTTCAAAAATATAACAGAAGACTTGAATTGTTTGCGTGGCGACTATCAGCAATTAGAAAAAGCGATGCAAAACCGTCATTTAAGTGTGAATAATTTTAGTGACACCAACACAAACAGTACTTCGAATAAAATCGAAGGGTACTTATTCAAGAAGAAATCGAAGGGATTCAAAACATGGTGCAGACGCTGGTTCTATTTGAGCAACAATCAGCTAGTCTATAGGTGAGTATTTATTGTAAATGGGTTGAAGGGAAGAGTTTTTCACTCAATTAAATAGCAAACAAATTGCTGAAAATATATGTATGTCTGTTTAAGAACTAAGATAGTCTGAAGTAGCGCTCTATCCCCTCAACAAAAATTACGATGAGGGAGCATGTGTGAATTCGTTTTTTTTATAATTTTTATATTTTAACAGTAGAGCTTTATAAAACGTGATATGGAGTTGTATCTGTTTAATTGAGTGACATCATCTCATTTGAATGGAATTTGAAAAAAAACNTCGTTATTTTAGGCAAGCAAAAATCGACCACAAGAAGTACAAGAGGCTGCTAACATATTGTCAGCTAGTAAATCATGCTTTCAACATACCGCTTTAGACTATGTTAATTATATAACTTTAGTACAATCGCGTAAAGTTCCATCGATTTTATCTACGGTTAGTAAATAAATAATTTTTAGTTTTAATTTTTTTTTTGTGGCCAAATGTTAAACAGTGAGTACACTCATTAAACTCTCAACTGCTCTCCACTCTTCTTCTACAGCTTGTCGACTATTATCAGGCTTGCGTTACATATTATCATCAAGGTTTCGATTTGTGCAACGATTTTGATGAATTTTTCAAAAATATAACAGAAGACTTGAATTGTTTGCGTGGCGACTATCAGCAATTAGAAAAAGCGATGCAAAACCGTCATTTAAGTGTGAATAATTTTAGTGACACCAACACAAACAGTACTTCGAATAAAATCGAAGGGTACTTATTCAAGAAGAAATCGAAGGGATTCAAAACATGGTGCAGACGCTGGTTCTATTTGAGCAACAATCAGCTAGTCTATAGGTGAGTATTTATTGTAAATGGGTTGAAGGGAAGAGTTTTTCACTCAATTAAATAGCAAACAAATTGCTGAAAATATATGTATGTCTGTTTAAGAACTAAGATAGTCTGAAGTAGCGCTCTATCCCCTCAACAAAAATTACGATGAGGGAGCATGTGTGAATTCGTTTTTTTTATAATTTTTATATTTTAACAGTAGAGCTTTATAAAACGTGATATGGAGTTGTATCTGTTTAATTGAGTGACATCATCTCATTTGAATGGAATTTGAAAAAAAACGTGCGCGAAGCTATTAGCTATTTTCTGCTGCTAATTCAGTCAACTCGCGGAAAGTGCAATTATACTTGGAATTTTAATGAAATATATTTTAACCTGCGCACGAATGTACTTTAATTGGTTAATACGTAATGAATCGTAAGGAAAGTGTAGTGATAGTAATGAATAAAGAGACACCCGCTTGATACGAGCGTGTTTTAAGTTTTACGAGCTAAAGCGTTGGAAATAATGCGAAAGCTATTCCGTGGCCCGATCAAGTTGTGGGGGCAGTTTTTTGGACGCCTTAACCAAGGGCAATAACCAACTGCTGGCATTGTTTTCTCGTTCTCTGTATTTTGCAATGTTGGTTTTGCGTTTTGTGGTAATAACAAAAGGGGCAAAGCTATATTTTGATGGAATCTATAATCAATCGTATTAATTATTTAGATTGTGGCAAAAAGTGAAGAAACCTTGGATGAGCTTGGAGACTACGTTGAAAAACAAAATAACTTTGCTCCAAAAAATATTTTTAATGCTTAGAGGCCACACCGTTTCAACTACATATATGTACATACATACATGTAAATGTCTGCACTAAATTAATCCACACCGTTTATGAAAATGTTAAGCCGATTAAAAACAATTCTCAAAAAGAAAAATGCAAGAAATTAAAGCTGCTGATTTTGAATTGAAAAGGTTTTAGTTAACTCCTTAAATTTTTATATTCTTGAAGTTTTCACATAATTTGCGAATATACATATACCATACCAAACTTATTTCTCGTCCCTTCGCTAAAAAAAGCCACATTTATCTCTTTTTAAAATCTAGTTATGATGCAGATGTTTTTATTTACCTATATTTATTTACATTAATAAGCTGAGAATGTTATCGAAAACAAGTAAAATAAAATGTAAACCAATTAAAAAAAATATTGCTGATCTGTACATCTGCGAAGAAAAACAAGAACAAAACACAGAGACAGAGAACTGTCAAATTGAATTAAGAATGTGCCCGTGGGAATGGGGTAATTCGCTATCATAATTCCGGATGCCGTGGGAAAATGGTATTACATTGTATATCTTTAATATCAATATTTGGCCGCTTACACTTTCGTTACGTGTTTGGCCGAGCTTTTCCAATATGTGGTGTACGGCTTGATGTTGTTACACAAAAGGAGGGACGTACAGTTTTACGCCGCCTCCGAACGGCAAATGGATTTAATGGGAAGCTTTTTCATAGCAGAATTACACTCAGAGGTTTGCAGTTACCTGCCTAGGGGTGACCGCTGTTAAAAAACTTCCTAATATAGATGTTTTGCCCGAACCAGGGATTGCACCCAAGCCATACGGTGGGGTAATACGCACCTCTAATCACTGAGCTAAAGAAAAATATGTTCATAAATTTGAAAACAAAACTATAGTTATTCATAATTTGTAGAAAAAGACTGATGTCCAACGAATAAAGTAGTCTATGTTCGCGAGAAGCCGAAATTTATATGCCAGGAACACATAGTCATGAACCGGGAACGGATTTCATGGAAATTGCCTTTTTTCTGCTAAATAGATATAGTATATTCGATTAAGAATGTCCACGATTTAGCTTTCCCTGATTCCATATATACACATTTGATGTTGCCTTTTTTTGCCTTTTTTAAGATATTTGCCTTTTTTGCCTTTTTTAAGATATTTGTCTTTTTTTTTCTTTTCTACCTTTAAAAAAGTGATTATAGCATTTACAATNATTCAAAGCCGTTTTCTCAGCTAACGTAGGCTTGGAGACAATAAGGGGTGTGGATAAAATTGTAAAGCGCGAGGAAAACGCCCTCATTCCTGATAATATGAACGTTTCAAACGTTCCATATTTAAATTGGGAAAATCGAATGAAAATGCTGCCAGAAAACTTCAAAATGTGTCTTGTGGTTCAATGTTACTACAACTATACAGATTAAAGTTTTATGAGTTAGAAA